CTTACTATGTTGTCTTCCTTATTTGCTTTAGACTCTGATGTATAGAGACATTGAGGATAAATTCTTAGAAGCTTGTGACTTATTTCTACTGGGTTTTTTGAGTATAAATTGTTTGCATTGTAGTTTAATTATTTCATATATTTATTATTATTCCGCTTTGATAGGCTTACCTAGTCTTAGAGACTAGGTGCCATCACGACATCCTACGGAGGGAATTTGGGGTCGTGACAAATAACAACCATGAAAAGTCTCCATCACTTTTTGAGTGTTGTTTTCTAGAGAGAGAAAGAGGATTTACTTTTGAGGAAGATGAATTTATTTTTCGAGAGGTTTTGGTTTTTGGATTAGTCTTGGGTTATTTATGTTGGGCCTAATATCTCCATATAAACTAGTGCCACCTATTTGATAAAAGCCCCAGCCATGTCATAGTTATGTCTATTTTTAACTATAAATACCCCCATCCTTCTTCATGTTTTCCCACAAAAATCAATCATTCTCTCTCAAATCTCTTACATTCTATCTATATTATTCTCTCAATTTTATCACAAACAAGTGATCAACTAAGTTTCAAGTATTTGGGAAAAGTTTTGGAGCAACTTTCATGCTTCAAATTAATTCGTCAAGTATTTGGAGCAATTGTTTGGGCAATTTCTTCAAGTTTTAATATTTAATCACGGTGCAATCGTTTCATCTCCTAATTTTAATATATAATTTTTATGTATCATTTTAGTGCTTAATTTTTGTGTTTACTTTACGTGTTCTTTTTTCGTATTTCATTTGTGTGTTTAATTTTTGTGTTAACTTTTTAAATTTAATTTCGTATTTAAATTGTGGCACCTAAAAATGTATTTGACCTATTAAAAAGAGGTAGTAAAAAAAACAGTAAAGATGATAGTAGTAGTAATCCTAATCCTAGTTCTAATCATAATACTTCTCCTAGAATTAGAAAACATATAAATGAAATGACTTATGTTGGTGAAACTTCATTTTTCCAGTCCCTGCATGTTATAATATTAATTTCGGAGAACAACTAGATCATGAAACTTTACAAAGACAATTTGGCAATGATATTTTTATTGAGGACGAAGAAAATGAGGAAGAAGAATTAGATGAAACACCACTAGTCTCGCAACACAAGCTCCAACTCAAAGTCAATCTCGGTCTGGAGCTTTACCCCTAAGCCTAAGGATGAACGTGTCAAAACATCATTTGTATGGAATTTTTTTTAACATGATAAAGTCAATCAACGTGCTATATGTGAAAAATATAAGCAACGATTTGTACACAAGACTAGTGATGGGATGGGGGATTAGCCAGGCACTTACGTAGGGAGCACAAAACTTTATGGATTAATATAGAAAGAAGAAATTTTGGTTTTGAAAAATTAACCACTAGGGAAGAAAGAAGAATACAATGAGATACTTAGTACTGGGAGCGATGACGACATGGAACTCATGGAACATCAATCAACATTGCCAATTCCAGAACAATGTCCGAGAAAAATTGTAAATAAGTTACAACGAAACTATATATGAGCTTACAAATATTAGTATGGTAATTTGTAATTGGCTACTAAGAGGCCTAGTTCAAACAGAACCATTCCTAGAAGGTGGCTACGTAGATTAGGTGCTCTTCAAAAGAATTATATTTGTATGTGAAATTTGAAAGTTCTATTAATAAAATAAAAGGTTCTAATGAATTATTTTATGAATTGTCTTACACTCTTACTTAATTACTTAATGGCTTAAAATTATATTAAATAAATTACAACTCTATTATAATTACTTAAATATTTCATTACAAGTCTTTTATTTTAATATTTAATAATTCTTTACTTAGTTTCCTAATTTCCTTATAATTTATTAAGTTTTAAGTTTATTAAATAAGTCAAAAAACTAGCCGTTGCAAACTTTAAAAACTTAGTCATTGTCAAAAAATTAGCCGTTGCCAAACTTAATTCTTAATTAGTTAATTATGTTTTTAAAAACAGCCCACTTAAGGCCCCTGAAACCATTCCATCCCGTCCCGTCCCGTTTGTTAGGTAATGGGATGAGACTACCGTTTCGTCCTATTTAGGCCCGTCCCAATTAAATGTAGTCCCTACGGTTGGACAACCATAAGTTGACTTTACCCAAGATTTAGAGTTTCCAGCTAGAAACCATAAGACGTGCTTATATGTAACTCTGCTTAACTACTTTCCCTTTACTAAAAAAATCATCCTTTTTTAAAAATTTAAAATACGATTCAAAACTTACTTTATTTATTCTCTAATAAGCGCAATTAGCACTAATACAATATAGGAAAAAGGGCCAAAAATGACCTTGTGGTATTCGAAATGGATTAATTATAACCCTCGTTTAAATTTGAGTTCAAAAATGACCCTGCCGTTATAAAATGGGTCTAATAATGCCCTTGTGTTATTCAAAATGGATCAATTATAACCCTCATTTAAATTTGAGCTCACTAATGACCCTGCCGTTAAATAATGGGTCTAATACTGCTATTTTCCTCAGTCAGTAATGATTAGGGGTGTAAATGAATATTTAAAAGCCGACTAAACCGACATAATCGTACCGTGCCGAACCGATTTTTAGTTTTTTTTAATAAAACCGTATGTTTTTATATAAATCTATAATTGTACCGATAATTCTGGTAGATTTTTTATTTTATAAAAATAAACCGAAAAAATATTGAACTGTACGGTTCAATATTTGCAAAATATATATTTTTAAGTCTTTTCAGTTTTTTTAAAGTATTTGTTTTTGTAAAAACTGAAAAACAATATTTTTTTTAAAAATGCTTTTAAAAACTGAAAAATATATATTCTGTAAAAACTAAAAAAAGAAAAGAATTTGCAAAATATATATTTTTAAGTCTTTTCAGTTTTTTTAAAGTATTTATTTTGTAAAAACTGGAAAAAAAAATATTTTTTTTAAAAACTGAAAAAAAAAACTCTTTTAAAGCAGTGGACTACATATGCATTAGTTTTAAAGAAATAAAAATATTTTGCAAAATCTTTTTTTTTTCAATTTGACGGTTCAATATTTTTTCGATTTATTTTTATAAAATAAAAAATCTACCATAATTATTAGTACAGTTATAGATTTATATAAAAACATACGGTTTTATTAAAAAAAACCTAAAAATCGGTTCGACACTGTACGATTATGTCGGTTTAGTCGGTTTTTAAATATTCATCTACACCCCTAATCATTACTGACGGAGAGAAATAGCAGTATTAGACCCATTCTTTAACGGCAGAGTCATTAGTGAGCTCAAATTTAAATGAGGGTTATAATTGATCCATTTTGAATAACACAAGGACATTATTAGACCCATTTTATAACGGCAGGATTATTTTTGAACTCAAATTTAAACGAGGTTATAATTGATTAATTTCGAATAACACAACGCCATTTTTGTGCCTTTTCCCTACAATATATTCCAATTTAATTATCCAGGTATACTCACAAGCATAGGTCTCCAAGCCCTCCTAAGCAACCGTCGCCGGAAAGTCGCCATCAACGGCCGAATTCTCCGAACTGCCGATCCAATACAACCACCGGCACTAGAAATTTACGGTGAAAATCCCTCTCTCGAATTTGCCGGTGACGAAACGAACAAATCCTTAAGCTTGTTTCTCACCACCACTTCCTTTTTATCCGGTGAATCTCCGTCGCCGAAAATCTGATCCGGCGACGCATCGTCCTCGGACAATAGCTGTCTATCACTTCCTCCGTCGCTGCCAGCGTTGCCGCTGCGGGTGAGGAGCATGCGAAGAGTTTTACGGCGGCCATAATTGGAAGGTGAAAAAAGGGGTTGAGGGTTAAGGAAAGAAGAAGTGGAGGAGGAAGGAATATGGAGGAGATAGAAAGTGAGATGTGAACTTTATTATTGGGTAGGGGACGGCCATGGATTAGATTCTGTGTTTTCGGTCTAAAGATTTACTAAAAAACCATCCCTTAATTCTTTCATTCTTATCAACCCTTAATTCATCAAATGGATACTCAATTAGTTAGAGGAGAATCATCTACATCTTCTCACTTCTCTTATGAAGTATTCCTGAGTTTTAGAGGTGAAGACACCCGGAAAACATTCACTGGTCATCTTTATTCCAAATTGGATAATGTTGGAGTCAAAACCTTCATTGACGATGAGGAATTGAGAAAGGGTGACGTGATTTCAAGAGAACTAGAGAAAGCAATTGAAGAGTCAAGAATTTCCATTATTGTTTTCTCAAGAAATTATGCTTCCTCTAGTTGGTGTTTAGATGAACTAGTTAAAATTCTCGAATGCAAAGAGAAATTAAAGCAGATGGTTTTGCCTATTTTCTAATTTTGATCCTTCTCAAGTGCGAAAGCAAACTGGGTTATCCAAATTTAACAATTATCCAAATTTGGTGATGCATATTTCTTATTAAATTCTTATAACTAACATGCTTATGGGCATCGACTATAGTATCTCCATGATTAAAGATATTTGACTTTACTTAACTAAATGCGGAAATCAAGCTTGCTCGAAGAAATCAGGCATGTGAACATTTGGAAACTGTTGAATAGGTACATATGTGAAACATTATTTCTAGAACAATATATACAAAATATTCTTTTAAATATATTCAAATATATATTCTATCTTCTGGTGCTATTATCAGGTTTCTAGATGCAATTTGTTCTCTTTATTCATTTATTTCCCTTTGATATTATCATGTGAACTTAGTGAATGCTGCTAGCCAGTTTTGAAAGGCTCTCATCTTAGCTTTTTAAGCAATTTTAAATTTGTTTAACATCCTCTAATGTGTAAGTTCATTTTTGTTGATACATGGTGTATTCTCTTTGTTTGTCCACCAATTTTTCTCGCTTAATTTCTGGGACTTAACATGAGCTTAAGTTACTTTTCTTTTTATTGAGCTGCAGGGTTCCGAAAATGTATAAGTACTGAAGGTAGATCGTGGGACATTAAAGGGAGTAAACTTGAGGACCAAAGCATTTGAGCAAATGAAAAACCTTAGGGTTCTTATAATGGATGAGTTACATATTAGTGGAGATTTTGGGTTGTTGTCCAAGAACCTCAGATGGTTGTCTTGGAAAAAATGTCCTTTAAAATGTATACCATCAAATTTTCCAGCTGAGAATCTTGTAGTTCTAGATATGCGGGAGAGTGATATCCAAGAATTTCAATTGAATTTGCAGGTTTGTTACTCAATTTTACAATTTCATGTGTACTGTTATTGCCACTGAGTGAGAAAATATTAATTGAAACTATATTTGGTTTACTTTTAGTGTTGTAGAAGTTTGAAGAAGCTGAATCTCTCTGATTGAAAGCAACTCAGATGCACTCCAAACTTCAATGGTTTACGGAGTCTGAAGACGTTATAGTAAAGAAGATAGGGATCCATTTGTTATATTTAGACCAACATGGTAAAGTTATATCTTTCCCGGGAGATGTGGATCATTCTTACTCTGAGTACACAAAAAGAGTTTCACCAGGCTTATTAATTCCTCCTTATAAAAGAGGAAAATTGATTGTTAGTGAATTTTACTGGGCTGTTGTTGTTATTGTATAAAAGAGGAAAGTTCCGTCAAATCTACATCCTTGTTCGAGTAATTCTTGTAGGAGAGTCATAATTTCTTTTCTTCCTCAGCTTTTGAAAAACCACTGCTTGATATGTTGTTGAAATAAAATAAATTAAATACCTTAGTGGCATGGAAATTTTGCTCTTCCTCTGTTTCTTCCTTTGCCATATATAAAATGAAATCCTATTCTTGCTAATCTTTTTTACCAAATTATGATCTTTTCTAGACTTCCTCCCTTATTAAATTTATTCCTTTTCCTCATCGTCCTTAATAAATTGCAGTTTTAGTGAGCTTCCTCCCTCTGGGGATAATGTTTTAACATTAATAAACAACAGAAAAATACTTATGTATTACATTTTTCATATGTTAAAATAAAAAGAACTCGTTTGAAGTATAAAACTATCATTAAAGCCTTTAACGTTCCAAATAACTTACTAGAGAAAAGAAAAGTAAAACTTACGTACGAAGGCATTCCGAAACTAACCCTGCAAAATTGTTCTCAACTACTAGCATATGATACTTTTATCTTTTTTCTTAATCTTTTTCTATTTTTCCCACAATCGTATTGCAATAAATTAAAGGAGGGAATGCGAAACTTCCTTGAAGTCCATAACTACAAAATCTACCAAAAAATATTTATTCTACCTTAGTTGTGTTGGTATGAGTGAATTGATCATTTTTAGTAAAATATTTTCATGAGAAAATTATTTTTTAGAATTTTTGTTACTATGTAATGGAAAACACTTTCTGTTAAAAGGAGGAAAATTCTACTTTAGAATTTTTTATTTAGAAAACTCAAATAAGGCAAGAATGTGGTTGACTCCTCTCTTTTTTCCACAAAAGTCAAAATATAAAGACAGATGAAAAAGAAAAGTATGTTCTTTTATATGAAAAGCCGTTCTTTTTTCCACAGTCCTTTGCCGCCGGCCACTATTCCGATCCCCAACGACGAAGCCATTTTTTGTTCTCTCCTTTGACTCAACAATAAAATCTCTTATCCCAAAGAGCTTGCAATAATTTAAAAATAATTATATTTCCGATCATACTAGTCGAAAATAAGCAAATAATAAACCCATCAAACTATTCAGGTTTCTGACTAGTGTAGTCGGAGATTTTAATAAATAATAATTTAATTATTTTAAATTTCCGACCTTTGTAGTTGGAAGATTTAAATAAAAAATAAATATTTATTAAATGCTCCTACTTCAGTAGTCGAAAACTTGAATAGTTTGATGTCGTATGGCAATTTAACCTCTTCGACTATCAATTTTTTGACTACCCGAAATTTGGAATGTAGTCAGAGAATTGAGTTTTCCAACTGTTGCGGCAATAGGAAAATAGCCTAGTAGTGAGTAATATTTTAAAGAATAATGTATTTGGCTTCATCAACATATAATTTACTTTCATGTTTGTTGCTGTTAGAGCATTAAAGTAAATAATTTCAGTGACAACTTTCTGTGGCGACCTTTTATGTCGCCACCGAACGTAGTACAATGTATCTATAGGAAACAAGTTTTTGTAGCGACAAAAGCGCTCGCCACAAAAAAGGGTATTGTCTATCGCTATTTGGAGTGGCGACCTGTATTCGCGGTAAGAAATAAACTTTTATGTGACGACAATTTGTGGCAAGCTCTTTAGTCGCCACAAAAGGTAGTTTTGTATGCCTCTCCCCAAATAAGCGACCTAATTATCGCATTTGTTTACTATTGTGGCGGGCTTAATTGTCACAAAAGCTAATAATAAAACAATAGTAACAATGTAACAGGGGTGGTATCACGACCCAAAATTCCACCACATGCGTCGTGACGACACTTAGTCTCTAAGACTAGGTAGGCCGATTTTAATAACAATTCAAGCCTTTTTTTTTTTAATTCAATACAAGTGTCAAAACCAACAACAGAAATATTCAAACAATCTAAGACTGGTAATACTGAGTCACGAACTCTAACTGAATACATGCAATGATCTCAAGGATCGAATATACAATACTGTTCGAATAAGAGTTGACAGTACAATAAAATGAAAAGACTCCAAGGGACTGTGACGACCAAGCAGCCCTACCTTAAATCCTTGCGATCACACTCTAATCTCTTCCAGAATCCGATATCTCCAATACCTGGCTCTGCACAAAAATATGTAGAAGTGTAGTATGAGTACACCACAGTGGGTACCCAGTAAGTATCAAGACTAACCTCGGTGGAATAGTGATGAGGTACAATGAAGATACTCACTAGTCAAATAACATGTGCAGTATAGCATACAAAAATAATAGAAAGACAAATAGCAGTGATAGCAACAATAATCAACTAGTGATATAAATAACAAGGCAACAAGAACACCATAAAAATAGCCCAAATGAATAATGAACACAATCAAAGCCAATTAATCAAGTCCTTCAAAATATACATCCTTTATCTACAAGTTTTCATTTCGAATAGAAATCTTTAGAATATAATTTTTTCAAATAAATATCTTACGAATATAATTCTTTCAAATAAATATCTTTCAAAAATAATTATTTCAAATAAATACCTTTCGAATATAATTCTTCAAATAAAATCTTTCAAATATAATTCTTTCAAATAAACTCTTTCGAATATAATCCTTTCAAATAAAATATCTTTCAAATATAGTTCCTTCAATAAATATCTTTTGAATAAAATTCTTCAAATAAAATCTTTCGAATATAATTCTTTTCAAGTAAAAGCCACCATGTGATACCTCATTTCAAAATCATAAAAATTACGGGTCTCAGTCCACTTTCACATTACCACGGCACCTTGTGCCCATAGCTCTATCACAACCGCACATACAACTCACGTGCTAATATTATCATTATTTACTCGCGCACCTCGTGCCCACATTTCATATCACAAATGCACGGACAATTCACAAGGAAGAAGACATAATAATATAATGAAATAACTCAGAAGTGAACAATGGGAATTTACATAAAGATAACAACACAACAAATAAAGGTAAATAAACGGGGCATTCCTAAGGTACCTCCTCGTAGTCCCAAAAGTAAATACATAACATGGGAGCTCCCGTGGTACCACCTCGTAGTCCCAAATTATAAATAAATTTCAATCTTTCCTTATATCACCGCGGGGGCCTTCACATTTAGTTTTTAAATTATTTTTTTTTGAAATAGCATCCCATATTTTTAGCCATCGTTATCACACCGCATGGCTTCTATTAGTCCCCCTACTAGCCACGCATATCAATCCTCCCTTTGTAACGACCCGACCGGTCGTTTTGAGAATTTATGTCCCGTCCGACGGCATAAAGCCCTGAGCAGCTTCGTATTATGTGCCTTGACTTGCGTGCATGGTTGAATTCAATTATCGGGTGATTCGAAGTGATTTGGGACACTTAGTCCCTAAATAAGAGCTTAAGTCTTAGAATTTGGACCTTAGTCGAAACTATGTGAAGACGGATCCGGAATGGAATTCTGTCGGCTCTGTTAGCTTTGTTGGGTGATTTTGGACTTAGGAGCGTGTCCAGACTGTAACTCCGAGGTCTGTAGCTGATTTAGGCTTGAAATGGTGAAAGTCAAATTTTTGGAGATTTGGACCGGAAGTGGACTTTTTGATATAGGGGTCGGAATGCGATTCCGAGAGTTGGAACAACTCCTTTATGTTATTTGGGACTTGCTTGCAAAATTTGACGCCATTCCGGGTTGATTTGATAGGTTTCGGCATGGGTTTTAGAAGTTGAAAGATTTGAAATTTATAAGTTCGATTCATGGTGCGATGCATAGTTTCATCGTTAGTTGATGTGATTTGAGGGCTCGACTAAGTTCGTATGGTGTTTTAGGATTGGTTGGTATGTTTGGTTGAGGTCCCGGGGGCCTTGGGTGTGTTTCGGGTTCTTAATGGATTAAAAATTTGATTTGTGTTGCTGCTAAGTCTTCAGGCTTCTGGTATTTTCGCACCTGCGGTGAAGAGTCCCCAGGTGCGGGAGCGCACATGCGGAGAGGTAAGCGCAGAAGTAGAAAAGTGGAGGAGTTCCAGAGGTCGCAGGTGCGAGGAAAAATTCCGCATCTGCGATGCCCGCACATGCGAAGGTTGAGGTGCAGGTGCGAGAAAAGCTGGACTTGACAGTCTCTGCAGGTGCGGTTTGGACATGGGCACCTGCGGTCGCGCAGATGTAGCTAATTATGCGCAGGTGCGGTCACGGCTGGGCAGAAAAGAGAAATCCGAGGGTTTGGTTTCATTCTTCGTTTTTGGACTTGAGAGCTCGGAATTTGGCGATGTTTCGAGGGATTTTCAGAGGAAACTTTGGGGTAATGATTCCTAACTCATTTTTGGTTGAATTCCATTAATCTATAGTTGTTTTCTCCATTTAGTTTCGGATTTTTGGGGTTGAAATTGGGAAAACTTGGAAGAACTTCTTCAATAAAGATTTCGAGTTTTGTAAGGGAATTTGTGGCCGGATTTGAGTAATTCTTATATGGTTGGACTCGTGAGTGAATGAGTGTTCATATTTTGTGATTTTTACCCGATTCCGAGAAGTGGGCCCCACGGGCAATGTTGAGTTAATTTCAGAATTTTCGTTAAAATGTTGATTTCGTTAATTAGATGAGACAATTATTGTTATAATTATTATATGTAATTTATTTTGGCTAGATTTGGGCTATCCAGAGCCGGATATTCGTGGAAAGGGCATTCTTATGGATTGATTGAGCTTGACTTAGGGTAAGTATCTTGCCTAACCTTGTGTGTGGAAACTACCCCTTAGGATTTGAGTCATCTATGTTGATTGTAGTGTGTGTACGCGAGGTAACGAGGGCGTGCTCGGACCTATTTGTGAAAAGTTGGTCTTTTAGGGTTCTTATGTCCTTATATTCAATGTGTATGATGTTGTTTTTAGTACGTTTGAATTCCTATTAGCTAGTTTCACCTCTACATGCTTTGATTAGAGATAATTGCTTTAGGATTCACTCTTACTGTCTATTTGACCCCTATTCGACTTAACCAAAGATTTTACCTCTTCGATCGTCGTGCTATATTTTTCATAACTGCATATCTTTAATTGAAATCATTATTTTCTCACCCTATAATTGTTTAGTCTTAATTGGAGTTATGATTATCTTTCGCTGCTTATCCTTACTTGAATTG